GTGAATGAATAAACTAATTGTGTAATATGTATACAGTGGACTACTAGTTGAGCAAAAACTACTGATACATGTCACAATGAAGATGTATCTCAGAAATGTTATGCTGCGTGAAAGAAGCCAGACCATAGGAGCATATACTGTAGGATTCCATTTATTCTAGAGCAAGCAAAACTATAGGGATGGAAAGCAGATCCAAAGTTACTTAATACATGGGATGGTGAGGGAGGGGAGGGGAGATTGTCTACAAAGGTACCTGAAGAACTATCTGCAGTGATGGATTGGCTGTCACCACAGCCACTCGTGTGAGTATATACAGTTGTGAAAACTCATCAAACTGTACACTTAAAATGGGTGCATTGTATTATATGTGAAATTGATATAAAAATTTCTGAAGATGAGGGATCTTATCTGAACTCTACCACCAACTAGCTCTATGTGTTATTGCGAAAGGAACTTAATCTTTCTGCATGTCTTCCCTGTTGGGAAAATGAGTATGATAGGTTGCTCGCCCACCTCATTCAGTCGTTGTGTGAATACAGATGAAATAATTTATTTTGAAATGCCTTTAAAATAAGTCGTATACACGTGCTGGGTGGGAGGAGTATTCCATAAACTCATCTTGAGGGAAGAAAGACAAAAACTGTGGTAATGAATGTCTGAGCTAATATTTATATATATGTTGGAATTCATTTGCAAATCATCTTTTTACTTTGTGGAACATGAGCTGTGTCACTTCCCCTCCTTGGTCTTGAGTAAAATGAAGGGGTTAGACTAGATCAGACGTAGAAAACTGGAGGCTCGGAGATTATCTAAAGCTTTTCAGATGTGTTTTCTTTAGCCCCTACACTATGGTGACCTGAACAGCATTAATTTAAAAGGTGACTTGTTGCCAGTGTTTAAATATGGAGATTTCACATACAATTTTGGGTTTCTAGCTCGTTTTTAGAAATTAGCAGATCTGACAAAACCAGGTCCACATTCCCACATGGCAACAATGATCTGGAGTTGCATGGTGGCCATCCTGTTACATGAGCCATCACATTAGTTTCCCATATTCTTTACCACTATCTGTGTGTAGCCTTCTCTGTCCTCTGTAGAAACCTTAAGTGGAGAGTTAGTTCATTATTGAATGCTCACTGTGTGTTAAACACTATTTTATGGCATGACAATCCAGAGGCAAACCAAACAGACAAAACCTCTAAACTCATGGTGAGCTATAAATAGCCATCCACATCTCCATCAACAATTAGGGGGAGAAAGTTAGACCAACAATGCTGTATATTTTAGGGAAAACGGGAGAAAACATGTTTTCTTGTGGGCATAAAAAAAAAATCCTACATATTTAATAGGCAAAGCATGTCTATGTCAAAATTACGCTGCCTACTTCACTTGCTTGCTTCACATAATAGATCATATCCTTTTTATCTTTTTGAATCAGTAGATTCATGGATGAGGTTATCTGAGTGTTTCAAAAAATGTCAGTAGGCAGAGAGACTGACACAGGCTACTGAATGTTAAGATTTTCTTACCTCTGTCCAAACCATTAGGTTTTCCCATTTAATCAGGATCTTGGGATGCAAATCAGGCTGAAATAAACACCTCTATTGACAGTCTTCTCTGTTGACAGCCTCCTTCCATAATAGCCTGAACCCTCTTAAGCTCTGGCTGAGAATCTCATCACCCTGATCGGTGTGGCAGATGGGGCTGTGCATGAGAAGTGTCTTGAATAGCACTCTCTCCCTCTTCTAACCTCGTAGTTTACATCTCCATTTGGCCAACCACACAGTGATAGTGACCAACATCTTTAGACTGACAAATCCTGTTAGGCGTGGATTTTGATCTCATGATTTAAATGCTTCTCATCTGCAGATAAACCCCTTTATAGGCATAGATGCTTGACAATGTGGCTTCATCTGTGTTAAGTAAAGTGATTCACTAATTTGCTTTTAGATTTATCATGGTCATAGGCTTTGAGAATCTGGGCAGGCTCTCATCAGCCATTGTGCTTACTGGATTGTGTGGTAGGCGACTGACCCATTTCTTCAGTCTTGGCTGAGAAGGTCATCTTGCTACCTACAAAGAAAACTGCACTGCTCCCATCTGGTGGTAGTTATCTCGAACTGCAGCATCTGAAGGAATTGCCCTGTCCTTCAGCAGTGCCGGGCAGCACTGAAGTGTAGGAAATACCTATTCCCACCTTTTGTTTCACAACATTGTCAGCTGTTTCCATTTTACCTAAAGGGTATCACATGGTTTTTCTAGGAGAGTGAACCACTCCAGCTTCTGCCCATAACTAGCCATGGGACTTCTAAGCCTCACTTGTTTTGTCCATGCATAAAGCAAAACACTTGGACTTAATGCTCTCTAGGAGTGCTACTCTTGCAAAGTCTGTAGTTCTGTGATTTTTTAAAAATTTGAAATATGAATGAAATGAATCCTACTTATACTATTTACAAAACAATTATGAACATACATAGAAATTTTGCAATTTATGCTACTATTTTCCTCAGTTCTAATTAATTATAAGATAACATCATGGATTTAATAACTTTGGCAGGGAGTTGGGGGAAGAAAAGATAAATACCACTGCTTTAAATGCACATGTTTATTACAAGACATTCTGATACCCTTGAAAGCAAAATGTAAAAAACATGCATTTTAGAATTGAGAAATGTGTGTGTGAGAGAGAGAGAGAGAGAGAGAGGGGGAGAGAGAGAGATAAGACCTCTAAGTGTCAATGCTACTTTTGAAAATGGAAAATGTTATTGAGGTACAAAGATTAGAGAGATGACAGTTAAAATTAAAGATTGTATGGTAAATTTTAGTGTTTATTTGAATACTGAGGAATATTATAACAGGAAATGTACAAACATGCAGTCTCTGGTAAATCATTATCATAGTCCACATTTGGAACCGAAGCCCATTACATTATCTTTTTACGAAATTAGGTGTGTATTTTATGAAAACATTCAACAGTGCTTTATGATAAAGGCTCTTTATGGTTGCAAGTAACAAAAACCAACTCAAGCTAACTTGAAAAGAATAACTGTGTAAAGATGCAGCAGGAAATGCCATGGGCATCAACAGACAGGTACTAAAGTGCCGCTGAGCCTTGGGGGAATTCAAAGGGCGTAATCAGGACCCAAGTCTTTATTTCTCAGAGGCCGAAGATCTCTATAATGGTTGTTTATTGATCTGTATCAATTTTGCATGTGGCTCCTAGCCCAGTACTACATCATAACCTCTATACAAATTCCCATACTGAAGACTTCCCTCTGTGTTCACCTCTATACAATTAGTGACCACCTCTGAGCAAGAATAGCATACTGATTTTTTTGCTGAACAGAGTCAATGGACAGGATATTCAAGCTAAATGATGACAACGTACAAGGCAGACAGATGGACTGAGTGTCCAGTGTAACTGCTACTTATTCCAAAGTCTTCAACTTTTGACAGTTTTGCCTCACTTTATCTAACTCCTCTCACCAATGGCATTGAACATCTCATATAGTGCTTTAGGAGTGAAGTTGAGGTTAGGGTTCTAAGAATTTGGGGAATGTTGTGGTGTGGTGTAACAAATTTAGAGCACTTGAGAATTTCTGTAGAGTTATATGCATTTCTTTTTTTTTTTTTTTTTTGAGATAGGGTCTCTTACCCAGCCTGGAGTTCAGTGGCGCAGTCACGGCTCACTGCAACCTCCGCCTCCCAGGCTCAAGCCATCCTTCCCCGCTCAGCCTCCCAAGTAGCTGGGACCACAGGTGCATGCCCACCATGCCTGGCTAATTTTTGTATTTTTTGTAAAGACAGGGTTTCGCCATGTTGCCAAGGATGGTCTTGAACTCCTGAGCTCAAGCGATCTGCCTGCTTCAGCCTCCCAAAGTTCTGGGATTACAGGCATGAGCCACCACACCTGGCTTATATATTTCTATTAATGAATTGTGAACTGTTTTTTAGAGAAAGGTCAGTGTGGACATTAAAAAGTCTCCCCAATAATTGTGTCATACTTGCCTTGTGTATGCTATGTGGAATAGCACTTTCTTACCCATATCATGTATCTTCTCAATAGCCCAGGAGGCAGGGAGGGCAGAAGGAATCTTTAGGTCTGTTTTTAGGTTCAAATTGAGTGATAGGATGAGAAGAAAAAAAGAGGAGATTCTTGAAATTAATTGACAACTATTTAGCAATTAGTGAAATAATTTCCTAGCCTCTCTGGTATGAGGGAAAGTGTGCTCCACTTACGTCTTTAAAAATGTTTTTGGTTTGAATCACATCTCTTTGAGCCTCTGTATTCTTCAGCTGGTAATTGTGTAAAGGGGAAAAGAACACAACTCACAGAATTGTGTTAAGAATTAAACAAAAGCATCAAAATACCCAAGACAAGGCTGGTGCAGTGGCTCCTGCTTATAATCCCAGCACTGTGGAAGGCCATGGTGGGAGTCCAGGAGTTTGAGACCAGCCTGGGCAATATAGCAAAAGCACTTCTCTACAGGAAAGTACAAAAATTAGCCAGGAGTGGTGGTGTACACCTGTAATCCCAGCTACTCGGGAGGCTGAGGTGGGAGGATCAATTGAACCCAGGAGGTCGAGGCTGCAGTGAGCAGTGATCGTGCCACTTCATGCCAGGTTGGGCCACAGAGGGAAACCCTGTCTCAAAAAAAAAAAAAAAGTGTACACAGGATAGTAGTTGTAATGTAGTTGGGTTTTTTTCGCCCATTTATCTGTTTGTTTGTAGGTTATTTGGAAAATAATTACTATTCTTTTGTTATGCTGAGATAGGTGTTTGGAAACAATTTCTCTGACTCTTGCCATCCCCTCCCACAAGTAATATCTCCGAGTTCTGAGAATCTAAGAATGTGTTCTACAACAGGCTAGCCCTAAAGGCTGGCTGGCAGTGGCATCAGTACCATTAGCAGTGACAGCGGCAACCTCCAGCCACCACAGTCATCTGACTGACTTTTTGAACATTGACTCAAAAGAGCTTGTGTGTGTTTCTCTCACAGGTGGATTTGCTATTGTATTTCTGGTGAGGACAAGCAATGGGATGAAATGTGCCTTGAAACGCATGTTTGTCAACAATGAGCATGATCTCCAGGTGTGCAAGAGAGAAATCCAGATAATGGTAAGGCTGCCCCTTGGACTTGGGACTGTTTAAAATGGAGGCAGAGGTTGTACTCTCTCATAAGAAAGTCAAACGGGGTTTGTTCCCTTCCCTGAGGTGGTACAGAGGCCTCTGGACAAAATGGGACTGAACAGCCATGTGATATAGGACACCACCCTTGCCTTGGTCACTCTCAGCTGGAGGGTGGAGGAGAAAGGAGCATATTGAGAGAACTGACCAGTTTTAGGTCAGAAAAATCATTTTGGGCATTGGGAAAATCTTACTTAACAACATGGTTCCCACAAATTAACTGTGATATTTAATCCAGAAAGCCTAACTTTCCAATGAGCCTCTTCTTCTGGTCTTGTCTCTCTCTCTCTGCTACCAGTCCCCAGTCTCAGTTCAACCATCCTGAGCTCTTCAAAATTCTGTGAACATATCCTTATACAACTTAATATTTTTACATGTAGTTCTTTTTACCTGGAATGCTTTCCCCCTTTTCTGGCCTGGAAACCTAGACCAAAACCTAGAAACCTCATATATACTCTATGAATCTATTTATAGAAGTCCAAGAACAGGCAACATCATCTATGGAGATAGAAATCAGAACATGGTTATTCAGGGGCGGGAAGTTGACTAGAAAGGGGTATACGGGGACTTTCTAGGCCATGGAAATGTTCTGTGTGTTGTTTTAGATAGTGGTTACACATATGTGTCAAAACTCAATTGAACACCTTAAAATCTGCACATTTTATTACGTCAATTAGACTTCAATTCTTAAAACTTACTCATTTTTCAAGATGCAGATTTATATGTTTAAAGAAAGAGTCCCTATGTGTTAGATATACATGCTGAAATATATATGGAGGAAATAATATAAAGTCCTTAGAACAATGAGTGGGTTTAGAAGATAAATAAGATTGGTCAAGAGTTGATGGTGATCGAAGCAGAATTATTTTATGGGAATTTGTTAGAGTAGCATCTTTCTTTTACCTCTGTTTGATATTATACATAATATTATACCTGATAAGTAATATAATAATAATATGTAATAGTATACGCACATTATACATAAGAAACTTTGAATATATAGTCTTTTATTCCTTTGTGCTTCCACAGTGCTTTTGTTTTATACCAATTATTTGCTTAACATGTTATGTTGTAAGCAGTTCTGCTATCAGGGAGTAAGTTATTTAAAATCAGAAATTGTATGCTCCAACACACTGCTTGACATGAAGTAAATGCTTGATAAACTTTGGAAGAAATTCGTATTAGAATGATGATAGTAGCAGATACATATGTTCACCTAGAGATGATGATTCCTTTTATGCCCTGGATTTTAATGCTTTTTAAATAGCAAAAAGGGATCCAAAAATGGAGAGCGTGGCATTGTAGGTATCCCACCAGGCTCCGCTTGCCCCTGTTCACCGTAAGTGGCCTTTTCAGTGGCTGCTTAGAATAACTAGTTAGGCTGTAGTTGGACTACTGAAAGTACTCAGAATGTTAGACAGCCTGGCACTACTCTAGATTTTAGAAAGCCAAAACTATGTGGGAAGGAACTGTCAGCACTGCACGACACACCAGCCAACTCCCAAGGGCCATATACATACAGTCAAGACCACGTGGGCCTGTCTGTGAGGCACCAATGCCTTCCACTCCCCTGCACATAGCTCCGGATTCCTGTTCTTGCTGTATCTTCCTTCACACACGCAGTGGGTTTTCTAGCTGCTTCTCATTACTTGTCTTCCTCCCTCCTCGCCCGTGCTTGTTCAGCTCTCACACACTTTGTTTCCTGTCTTTGCTTCTGCTGTTTCCTCTATCTAGAATGCCCTTCTTGCTCATTTACTTGTGTTACAAAAGCAATCCCATGATTTCACTTTCTCCTCCTTATTTAAAAACACACTGAGCGCTTACTTGTGCTAGGCAGGCATTGTAGTGGAGGAACGAAGACGCACAGGCCCATGAGGAGCTCACAAATTAATGGGCTTGATTAAGAGTTAAATCACACAGGTTCAAGTTTTGGCCCAGACGCGTATTAGCTGTGAGAGTTTTGTTTTTAGTTTATATTCTTTCAAAGCTTTAATATTCAAATAGGTGAGCTAAGCTTGTTACAAAAAACATCAAGCACTTCCCCAAGGGGAGCTCCTATGCCATTACAGGGTCCCAGAGGCAACCACTTTAGGTGATTCTTTTGATGTCTTTCTAAATAACATGTTAATATTGCTAGTTCTTGATTTTTCTTCCATTTTAGGCATTATCTCCTATGGGAAGTAAAGACATAACTGTCACTTATTCGCTGCTTGCCTCTCTCCCCAAATACTTGCAGTATTCTCATCTTCCATTCTTCCAAAACACCAGTAAACTTCGGCAATATGTTGTTTATATGAATATTAGTTTTTACATTATTATGTAAGAAAACTATTTCAACTGAATTCCTGGTGGACTATGAGTCCTCTGCCTTTCCTATATAACTTTGCTTTCACTAAAATTATTAATTGTCTTGTTTTCCCTCTCTTGGTCTGAGTTTTCTTTGTACTATTTAACAGTTTAATTCCCAATTTTCCATAAATTGTGTAAACCATTTTTTGGATTTTTTAGATGCATTTAATGGTGTCTATTTTATCATCTTCAAGATTTCTCCCTCAGTCTCCTGACTGAGGAACCTGGGCTGGTTGTTCTCTGCCTGATTTACAGTCGAATCTTGGAATTTCCTGGACATTTCCTTTGCCTCTCTTGTTTAATTAGAACTGGTAATTCCTCTTTTGGCTAACTTCCTCATTTTGTTGGAGCTGATCCTCCAGTATCTTTTTTTCTCTCTCTGTCTTTTGAGACGGGGTCTCAGTTACCCACGCTGGAGC